TGTGGGACAAGTTGAGGTCGGGACCACAGCCACGAAGATCGATTTTTCATCTATACAGGTAACGATCTTGCTGTCGTTTTCTATTGTTTAAGGTTTTCGATTATGGGAAAGTCGCCGCACTCAATAAACAATTGCCTTTTGTGCTCTTTTTGGGTTAGTGAATATGAAACACGTGAAAGTAGTTTAAAATTGGCTGTTTGTATGTGTTTGTCTTGTTTATGCTTTGTTAACCATAAAGAGACCATAAACAATTCGTCCACTAATATATAACATAATATGTTCATATTGTACAGAATGAGCATTCTACTTGTGCTTCGTCATGGGGGTATGCTGGATACATCAGAAGCGGTTCCAAAGTATGTTGGTGGTGTTGAAGACCGGGTTGATGTGGCAGTTGATGTTATGTCGTACTTTGAGCTTGTGAGTATTTTGATTCAGGATTTCTATTACTTGTAGGTTGAGAAGATGTGGTATTTGACTCCGGGACAGAGCATGGAGGATGGTTTGCTCGAGATTTCCAATGATTCTGATGTGATGAATGGGTTACTTGGAGATGCCGGGCTAGGGGAGGTGGTGGTGTTTTTTGAAGCAACCAAATTTCTCGGTGAAATGGGGGACAACTGTGGGAATAGTGAAGATGTTGCAGACGAGGAAGGCGACAACTCTGGCGTTGCAGAGTTCATCCGGTTAGATGATTATGAAGCTCAGACTTTAGATGAAGAATATCATGAGATTAGGGCCCGTTTTCGTCGCATGAGACAGAAATGCATGTTTGAGGCGATTGGATCGGGGGAAGAGGTCGTCCTATTATTTGTAGATGAAAATGAGGTATACCCGAGTGTGCAGCAGGAGGATGGAGAGCCAGAGTAGGAGCAGCCAGAGGTACAACCTACTGTGAACGAGTAAGAAAATGCAGGGGAGGGACAGCGAACAGATAACATGGATGATGTTGATGTTGAAGGGAGTGAAGCTTCTATCTATAGGGGTTCTGAGGACTCAAATCATGTGAGGGGAAATTTGGATGAAGAAGAAGAGGTGTCTATGATCGACAAGTGTCGATTTATGATCCAAATTGTGATCATAAAACACTTTCAATTACCACACATATGAGGTTTGCTAGTCCCAAGCAGTTTCAAGAAGCTATTACAAAGCATTCAATCGAGATTGGAGCTGATATTAGATGGGTGCGCAGCAGTGAGAAGAGAAAGGAAGTTGTGTGTGCCCAAAAGTGTGGCTGGAGGGTGTATGCAAGTTGGTATGGGAAGAGGGTGACTTTTATGGTGAAAGGTGTTGGGACTCCTCATGACTGTCCGCGTACTTTTCGCATTCGAGGTGCTACTTCAAAGTGGATAGCTACTCAATTTCTAGATCGGTTTAGAGTGGAGCAAAATTGGGATGTGAATCTCATGGCGGCTGAGATAAAGCAGAAATACAATGTGGAGGTGACACGGAAAACAGAAGAAAAGAGGCAGCGGAGTTGCTAACGAGGCGTGCTAAAAGTTCTAGTGGAGAGATAGCTACTAGGCACAACAACCGGGTTCATTGTACTCGATGTGGGGTAGAAGGCCATAATAGGAGGAGCTGTACCAACCTAGAAATACCACAACCACCTCCTCCAAGTCAACAAAAGCCTAAGCGAGCCCCAAAAAAAGAGACCTGCAGTACCACAACAACCTACTGAGAATAGAGTACGTCAATTTCATATTATGTTAATGATTGACATGATTTAGCAAGTTAATCTAATTTCCTAGTTTTCTTATTTTTCAGGAGCCGAGTAAAAGAAAGTTTCACTATTCTAGGTGTAGGGCAGACAACCATAATTCAAGAACTTGTCCGTTGAGGGTTGGAGTTCAGGTATAATGTTAAAAACATCAGATGTAGCTGTGCGTTGTATATTTCAGCTTAGTGTCTAATTACTAATTAGAGTGAATTACAGATTGAAAGCATGGGAAATTGTAGCCGACAAGTCATGGAGCGGGAGGTGAGGAGGTCTATGAAAGGAATCGGCACCTACATTGATCCTCATACTGGGAACATGTCTTCTCGAGTAGAATTCGACCATCACATTGTATTTTCTGTTTATTCTCTTGCGTTAAATGTTTCTAACCATATGTACTATTGCAGCTAAGTACAAGGGTTCCACAAGAAGAACGTAGGAGCCAACCAACTGGACCAAATCAGCCGCCAATGAATAGCACACCGCCTCCAGCCTCTCAACCCGGAACACAGTAGTCTGTGTTTGAAGCATCAATGTCAATTCCCTTCTTTTGTAATTTGAACATGCAGTAGGTTGTAGCCATGTATGTGGGAATTTGAACTAAATATAGGGTTGATGTTGAGGGGCGAAACAATATGTGCGTGGGGCACAGCAGGCTAGCGCAAGAGACGCGACCGGAGACTGTCCATTAGAGGATGGTATCATATGCGGACGCCCACAATCGGTTTGAGTATTGCAATACATGCTATGGAGAGAAGCATTCTTCACCAGCACGAGGACTTGCATTATGAGTGGTGGAGAATGTGACGACCCAATATTTCGTGACTGTGTTGATCGTCTGAAGAACGCTGCCATTTGGTTGTCTTGCCACAAGAGGGGTAAAGGGGGCGACATTAGCGATATGGTGTTGTCTGCCTGTGCATCGTTTCTAGCCAAGTCAGGATGTGGCTATGAAGGGGATCGTTGCAAGAGAAGGCACAACTGGTCGGAGGCTATTGTCGTCTCCCTGATGAGCCCAAGGCAGGGCAAAACCAGTTGGCTTGCGTATGCGGAGAAGCTGGTCTTGAGGAATGAGTGCACCTCAAGACACCGCATGGAGTTTGGAAGTCTATGTCCGTGACAAGTGGTATCAGAGCTTGGTTAGGCTGAAGAGCCTAGTTCCTCTCTCAGTACGGCATAGGTCGAGTATGGGACGACCCTATGCCCGAATGAGAGGTGGTCTTGGGTGTGCATATCAGGCGGTTCAGAGGCAGTTACACATGTGTTGCGCCTTTGTGGGGACCTCGACAGGCTGAAGATGCAGCGGCAAAGAATGCTGTTCAACCGAGTAACTAACGCTAGCGAGAGCGTAGGGTGAAGGTCGATTGAGGTACAAACGCTGGGAGTAGCGTAGGGTGAAGGTCGACTGAGGGACTAGCACAGCAGAAGCAAAGAGTGAAGGTTGATGTCGAGGGACGAAGCGGTATGTGCGCGAGGCAGAGTAGGCTAGCGCGAGAGACGCGTCACGGACATAGACTTCTGAAGTTCGTGCGACATCTTGAAGTGCACTCATTCCTCAAGACCAGCCTCTCCGCATATGCATGCGAAGTGGTTTCGCCCTGCCTTGGGCTCATCAGGGAGACGGCAATAGCCTCCGACCAGTTGTGACTTCTCTTGCAACGATCCCCTTCATAGCCACATCTTGACTCGGCCAGAAATGATGCACAGGCAGACAACGCCTTATCGCTAATGTCGCCCCCTTTACCCCTCTTGTGGCAAGACAACCAGATGCCAGCGTTCTTCAGACAATCAACATGGTCATGACATTTTGGGTCGTATCAAATGCCCGGTTAGGCTGAAGAGCCTAGTTCCTCTCTCTATACTACATAGGTCGAGTATGGGCCGACCCTATGCCAGAATGGGAGGTCCTGGGTGTGCATATGCGGCGGTCCGGTCATAGATAAACATGTGTTGCGCCGTTGTGGGGGACCTCGACAGGCTGAAGATGCAGCGGCCGAGAATGTCGTTCAAACGAGGAACTAACGCTAGCGAGAGCGTAGGGTGAAGGTCGATTGAGGTACAAACGCTGGGAGTAGCGTAGGGTGAAGGTCGACTGAGTTACTAACTTAGCAAGAGTGAAGAGTGAAGGTTGATGTCGAGGGGCGAAGCGGTATGTGTGCGGGACACAGCAGGCTAGCGCGAGAGATGTGACCGTAGCATGTCCATCAGAGGATGGTATTGTATGTGGATGATGTCTCCAAATTGGTTTGGTTGCTTCGTCTCCTCACTGATTTGGATATCACTCTTGTTGTACCGATGAAGCTCTTTGTTAACAATGCTATTCGTATTACAATCAACTATATTGTCCATGATCGTTTGAAGCATATTGAGATATTATGTCCGGAATCTTATCCATGATGGTACTATTTCGGAAGATTACATTCGTACAGATAACTAGATTGTCGATCTTCTTACTAAGGCATTGTCCTCTAACCGACATTGATATTTGTCTAGGGAATTGATGCTCTGTGATCCGCACCAACTGGGAGAGACTGTGAGCATATATACGCCATGCACAATTGTACATACTTTCATTATAGTCATTTAACTAAACAATTGTATATATGCACAATTGTACATATATAGCCCATTACAGTTGCAGAGCTGTGTTAATGGTAGGAGAGGCTATAGTTCCCTCCATCTCGCTTGTTCGAATTCTCCCGTGTATAATTTTAGCCCCCTCCGCTCAAATTTACGATTCCGCCACTGCCTATGTAATCCCCAGGTAGGTGTGTGTAGGTTTCATCCAAATTGGACTCTCCCTGCTAGTTCCTCCAACTCGGAAACCTAAAAACGTTAGTAGCCTGAAGAGTTCTAACCCTTCCGTGGATTAGTCCTTGCATTCCCGGGATACCACGTAAACTCGGATTGTTCATTTGTCAGTTTATTTATTCAGTTCCGTATTGATCAACACTAAGTAATCCAGTGTGATATCAAAAGTTTCCATAATGATTTTAGCATTGAAGTTCAATCAATGTTAGCCTTTGTCATACCATATGCCCGCATCAATTCACCTGAAAAAGGAAGTCACATGAATTAGATTAGGAGGATCCAAAATGCCTAGCACCGAATTAATCAAACGGAGATAATAATGAGAAAACCTTAAACGCAGGAAACTCCTCGCGCTCGCCCCTACCACGACGAGACGAAACGAAACGAAACGGCCACCACCTAACCGTTAACTACTTTGCTTTGCATTACAAACCTGTTTTTCCTATATATTCATTCATCTTAATTAATGCCCTTCCATCCGTCGCTCTCTCCAGTCATTCACGCTCTTTCTTTTCTTCCTCCTAAATCTTCTCTCCCACTCGACAATGGCGGCTGCTTCTGCTTCATCATTCATCCCCCTCAAGCCTCGCCCAACTCCACGGGTAAAATTGGGAGCTCCTCAGTCATTCAGCTTCCGCCGCCCTGCTCTGGCGCCTGCTCGCCTCCGGATCTCCTGCGTCGTGAGTCCTCTCCTTGAATTTTTTGATAGCATTTGTTCGAGAGATAAGGTGTGATATTCCTGCTCAAGTGACTGTGTTTTAAGCAGGCGAAGCCAGAGACGGTGGAGAAGGTTGCCAAGGTCGTGAAGAAACAGCTTGCACTGCCTGCGGAGACTCTGGTGACCGGCGACTCCAAGTTCGCTGCACTCGGTGCCGATTCTCTCGACACAGTAATCAGAATTTTTTTCTGGTCTCCATCCCTGTTGTTATGTAACTCTTCCCTATTTTGCGTTGCATGCGATGACGACCCCATTGGTTTGCTGCCTTTCAATCAGGTTGAAATTGTAATGGGCCTAGAAGAGGAATTCGATATCAGCGTCGAGGAGGACAGCGCGCAGTCGATAGCGACAGTTCAGGATGCAGCCGATCTCATCGAGGAACTGGTTCGGAAGAAGTGCGCTTGAAAAAGCTTAAGAAAGAAGAAATGAATGAATGATCCTCCTATTTCTCTCTAGTGCAGTTTCATGCTTGTTATCTCTGTAAGATGGAAGAAATGTGCTCTTTGGCTTGTGTGTTCTTTTCACCTCTTTCTTCCTCTCATGTAATAGAACACTGTTTTAGTGCGAAATTTTCATGGCATCTAAATGTAAAAAAGAAAATGCGGTTGCTTGTTAACTAGCATATCCAAAGATTTCTACAAGCTCATCCTCAGACAAAGTATCCAAAGTTGGGGCATTTTTTGGATGCACAGAAGCTAGAAAGAGCCTGATGGTGGGAAGAAGGCTACATTTTATATGTGAAAGCATAAATGAAATGAAACGTGCTTTCAAGTTATGTGGACCTTACGGTTCTTCTTACCCTACGTAGTTAAAAGGAAGTTAATTATGTACAGTATGGTTGCGGGAGTTTTGATCAGAAGCTCTTCATTACACATAAATTTATTCCCAATCAGCATCGAAGAAGCCGGCATCTTTCATTTCTGAGTAGTACACATTCTCCAGATGCAAATCTTCCTCCTGCAGAAAGCCATGCAAAATATTGAACAAAGACGGATTATGCAAACTGTTGTATCTAGATGCCGAATGGAAACAAGAGAACCAAAGGCCAGGGAAGTAACCTGGAAAAAGTCTGCCAGAAAGGTTATATATATCAGAGGGAGGTAGAAGGCATGGTATGAGACTATGGTGGTGCTATACAGCCTGCATGTGCGTTGATAAGAAATTATAAGAGGGGGATCAAATGACAGTAAGAAGAGTAAGTTAAAGAGTTCTTGAGGGGATCCGTGACAGAATAATTACCAGTAACCGAAACCAGATCCGCTTCCACTAATCCCACAGGCGAAGAGTGCCAGAGTGTTCACGGCAAACATTATCACGATGTATTTGTAGAATGCAGGTCTTGCTGCAAGAAAGGAATTTTTTAGTTAACTTCGTGATAAAGAACACCGAGCAATCTTTCAGTCTTTTTCCACTCTGCTTATTCAATATGCATGACATGAACTTACCAGGCAACCTTTCCCTCCACTTGGAATGATACATGAAAAGGATGAAGCCGTAAACTGCAGTAAGAACTAGCCGATGGACAGCCCACAGGCCCCACTTCATACGATTAGAGTCCTCGCCAATGTCGATAAACAAGGGAATCCCGAACCCAAACAAGTAAAGTGCCTGAAACAAAACAATCTTCTTGTTGATAAGCAGAGTAAAAAGGACTTTGAATGCTCGGTTGAACCAATACAGATACCTACCTTGAGAAGTATGTCTAACCCAACTACAATTGCAGAGACAGCGAAGGTCTTTGTCATTGCGTCCAACCCACTCACGTAATTGCCTTCGAGTAAGAAGGCAATTAAGCTAACTTCCAAAAAAAGCATTCCAGATGTTGTAAACAGAGATAGCACATTCCATGTTTGTTCTTTTCCAGGAGTGCATTCCAATGCCTGAAAAAACCAAGCAATAAAAAGATACAAAGCTGAGTCCTGTGAACAGAGACAAATACTATGAACTGTGGGATCATTCTAAGTTTTCACCAGCCATCAATTTCCCCATTTCGTTAACAGTTTGAGATCCACCTGCACCAATTATCACCTAAGACCACTGTACTCAAAGTAAGCTCAAACCTGCTATCCATAAGCTTTCTAATCCTAGCTAACAAGCCCAAAGAAGGAAAGTTTCGAACTTAACTAGACAACGGATGCAAACAAAACCTGTAAGAGGGACCAACAGAGGTTGAGCGAGCTGACGAGCCAGAGACTACCGTAGTAAGCAACCATTATATGTGATCTCCCATTCGAGAGCTTGGTGAAGCTCTTCCTGGCCTGGAATGCGAGGTAGAGCATGAAACCTAAGGAAGCTAGAATCAGAGTGACGTTGTGCAAAAATCCGTGGCACTCGAACAGCCAATTGAACAACCCTGGAGCGCCGGTGTTGAAAACCTCGCCATGGGTGAGAGTTGAATTAGGGTTTTGGGGAAGAACCGAGATTGATAATTGAGAAGCAGTGCCAGGGACTTCTTCCCCGAGATACCGCATCTCTTTTACACGGCTGGCGGGGAAGGACCCTAAGAATTGGTTTTGGTCGCTGGGAAGATTGTGAATGAATGATTTCGTTTTTGATTGACCGCACAAGGAAGAAGGAAGACACAGAGAGCTTCTGGTTTAGAAGTTGTGACGACGACGAAGAAGAAAATAATGCGATTGATGGGAGAACGATTAACTAAAGAGAAAAAACCAATGTTCTCGTATGACCAAGCCGGAGCATTACCCTGTAATTTAAACGACTCGTATTGTAATGGTTCAATTGGTATTGGGCTAGAGAAATTTTACAATGCTATATAGTATTGGTGCTATAAGATTTTGCCTTTATGGTACAACTTAAAATTGTACATTTACATTATGGTACAACTTCAGATTGTACCTATACTTTTTGTACAAATTCTTTTATGGTACAACTTGAACTTGTACTTTTATGTGATGGTACAACTTCAAGTTGTAAAGTTGTACCAGAACATAATTGTACAAATTGCTTTATGGTACAACCTAAACTTATACATTTAATGTTATGGTACAACTTTAAGTTGTACATTAAAGCACCAATACTATATAGCATAGTAGAAGTGCTCTATTGGGCTATTAAAAAACTGTTAAAAGAACCAATACCTTGTAAGCAATGCAGTCAAAATCTAGATTTTAAGTAAAATCGAAAACTGAGGTAGAATCGAAATCGTAGATTAAAATCGTAAAATCGTAAGATTTTAAGGTTCATATTAAAATAAATACTTAAAACACTAGATAGTAATAAAAAATGCATATCTTGAATAACAATCAACCACATAAAGTATAATTACTTCCCAAGATAAGTTTGTTTGCTAAACAAACACAACTAATCCATATATTTTTCTTGTACATAATAGAAACACACAAATAAGAAACCTGAAACATTATAGATATCATTGTTAATCAATTGTTAAGAGTAGAAAATCACATAAGATCGTTAGGATCAACATTAACATCACTTACACATCATCGTCATCATCCTCACCCTCACCCTCAATCTCATCGTTTTTATTTGTTTAAGGACTAATATCATTACTCTTATGAACACTTGAAGTACTTTCACCATTAACCATATTTCCTTGATTACCATCATCTGGAAAAGATAACTCATTGATTGATTCATTCCCTTCTTAATTGATAAAAGGTTGGGTTAGTGGTGCTGAAGGATTGGGAGATGAACAAAAGCTTGCAATGTAATGGAGATTTGGATTATTGTGAGGGTGGTGGGAACAAACTACAAGCTAATTGGGAGGGTGGAAGATATCGTTGATGGAAGGAGTTGGGCGCCGACGTGCGAAAGAGGAAAGATACGAGGAAGAGAATGAAAATAAATTGAGGGTTAACTATCAGGTTGGGGTTGTGTTGTTCATTATGTTGGGTTGGGGAAAGTAAATTTGACTCGGTTCATGGGCATAACCCAACTTGACCGGCCTAATTTTGATCCTATTAATATGAACCTTGAAATCGTACAAAATCGTAGAAATCGTAGATTTTATGGATTTTAGAGTTTTAAATCGGGATTTTATGGGATTTTAAGGTTCAAAGATTTCACAGTAAAATCAAGATCGGAACCCATAGGTAAGATCGTAAAATCGTAAGATTTTAAGATTAAAATCGGGATTTTGACTACATTGCTTGTAAGGGCTTGAGATAGGGTGAGTAACCCTTTGTTACTCACCAGTGAGTAACCACCTTAGGACCGTAGATCTAGGGGTGAATCAATCATGCGGCTGGGCTGAATGCGGGGTCCAGAAGGGCATTTTTGTCCGTTTATGATTTGTTTTTTTATTCCAAGTTTAATGGCCGCTTTTTCTAAAAAAGGAGACCACTTTTAATGGCTGCTTTTTCAAAGGAGGAGAGAGAATCATTTCTCTGCAACTCTCTTTTCTCTTTCTCCCTTCCTTTTTCTCTCTCAGTCTATCATTTCTCTTTCTCTTTTCCTTTTTTTTCCTCTCCAATCTCTTTCTCCATATCTAGATCTGCTTCCTTCTCTTCTTTTTTCGTTTTTTTCTCTCCAGTAATCGACGAAGAAAATTTGCAGCCACCCTCTTTCATTGCGTTTTTTGTCTCTTCATCAACTCGTTGGCCTCAATTTCGGTCTTTCTCCCTTTTTTGGCGTTTGGTGTTCTTGATTGCGGAGGAAATGAGACGAAATAGAAGAAGAGTTTTTTTTCCCTCTCCCTCCTTCTGTTTTTTTTTCCTTTTAGATAATATATATTGATATTATGACTCTATACCATATGGTATTGGGTGGTAACGAAATATATATTGATATTACCACACTATACCCTATGGTAATGTATGGTATTGCGTGGTAACGAAATATATATTGATATTACCACTCTATACCATATGGTATTGTGTGATATTACCATACTATACCATATGGTATTGTGTGGTGACGAAATATATATTGATATTACCACACTATACCATATGGTATTGGGTGGTAACGAAATATATATTGATATTACCACACTATACCATATGGTATTGGGTGGTAACGAAATATATATTGATATTACCACACTATACCATATGGTATAGACTGGTAATAACTGGAAAAAATTTGTGTCAAAAAAATATCAAAGTGGATATCATTTTGAAGAGCATAATTAATCTGATCTAACTGTGCAAAAAAATTAAATTTCAACTTAAAACGAGTGAGAAATCGTCCGATAAAGATTAAGAGAAGGAAAATTAAAGGTTTTTCGATGAGAGAGAAGGAGGTCCTGATGTGGTCGGTCAAAAGTCAGCGCATCAGCACGTCAGCAATAAATAGGGGATACGTACATTTTACCTTACTGCCCTTCCGCATTTAATTTAAATAAAAAAGTGGACTGACACGTGGAGATCAGAGAATGGGTTACTGATGGGTTACTGACCCATCAGTTACTGACACGATCCGCTCCCCCTTGTAAGATAACATAAGTAAAAGACTCATAGAATAGCTATGGCTTAATATTAGGTGTGGTTACCCGCAAAAATCCATATTTTGCAAGTAAAGAGTTCTAGTCGCCACCAACGTATTTGTTGTTCGTAATTAGACTATAGTGGTATACACTTGTGTTGTTCGTGGAGATACAATTTTGTACATCGATCTTACTCAACGTGGAGATTTTTTCTTTTTGAGTTTGGTATTTTACTTTTGTGTAAGAGAGCTGTGATTTCATATTTCCCCGACTAGAGGTGAAATATGACAATAAATATGATCTTGTATTTTTTCACACAAAAGCAAAAACATATTGATAAAAGTTACAAAAAGTGTTGACTTTTAATGAATTGATTATTCTTCACTCTATCGATTATAGTGTTTTATAAACTAAATTTTTTTGACATAAAACTTATTAGGTGTGTCTTTTTTATTTGGTGGCTACTTTAATTTTTATCCTCTCACTTTTCACATACTATTATATTATAAATTTAATTCACTAAATAAATATAATTAGTGTGGTTATTGTGAATTTTGTGGGTTAACCGCGTTGGGTAGTGGATAACCACTAACCACAAAAATCGTTATTTTACTACCCACACCCAACCCACTACCCACAACTTGTGGGTATGGTTACCCACAATAGGTGCGGGTTGGTGCGGTTTGCGGATTATCCACAACCCCAACCCAAACTTCCACCCCTACTTAATACCCCATTTTGGCCCAAAGTTTGGCGTTAGTGACGATTTTGGCCCCAATTTTCGAATATTACACTTTTGGCCAAATTTTCAAATTTACGGACGTATTTGGCCCGTGTTACTTTTTTACCGCCAGAAATGACGGTGAACTAATTTCCCCGTAAGTGAGTCAGCAACATTTGCTGACTCGGAGGGCCACGTCATTAACTAAATAAAAAAAAAACAAAACCCGACCGTTCCTTATCTTTTCCCCCAATTTCTATTTGCTTCCGTCTCCACACACCCATCGCGAGCGCCAGTCTACCCTCCTCCACCCAGCGCGAGCGCCGCCATCATTGGCCGTCCCCCACCTCCACCGAGCGCGAGCGCCGCCGCTGTTGGTCGGCTTCTTTCCATCACGGGACACCCTCGTCGCCGCCTAGACCTCGTCGCCCTTCGTCGTCGCCATCACAATCTTTCTTCGCCGCCGCCATCCTTCGCAATCTTTCTTCGTCGCCGCCCAGACCTCGTCGCCCTTCGTCGTCGCCATCCTTCGCAATCTTTCTTCGTCGCCTCCCCTCCCCAATTGAGCTATTTACCTATTGTTCTCACCATACCCGACAGGTGAGGAAGGAAACATGTCATATTTTAAGAAGGGAGGTAAATCCAAAATTGCAAGTTCAGGGGCTGCAAGTTCTACCAACAGACATGTGGAGAGATGCAACCACAATGTTCCGTGCATTGTGCAAAGGTCTAGGACAGCAGATAATCCGGGGAGATTTTTCTATTCCTGTCCATATTGGCAGGTATGATGATTTTCGATCTGTTCTTGCATTCTTGTTGTCGAAATCCCGGTATTAAAGATTCATTTGAATTCTGGTCATGTAGGATACCAAAAAGAATTGTAAGTACTTCAAGTGGGTTGGTCAGCGGACATTGGCAAGCGATATAGATGGTTTGATAGAGGAGAATGAACAGTTGAAGTAAAGATTTGTTGAGATGGAAGTAGAGATGGAGAACTTATCTTCACGATTTGAAGGTCAAATTGAACAAACTGAAGAGAAGGACAATAAGACGAAGAAACAAAAGTTATATATGGCTAAAGAGTTGGCCAAGTTTGCAGATATCAGTACTCGTAATTGTGTTGAATTGCAGAAAATGCAACATACTGTGTGTGCACTGCAGAGTAGGATTACTACTTTTTGTATCGCTATTAGCTTCTTCTGTGTTATTTGGTATGTTAGCTGGCTGGTCTGTAGCTAAACCAATGGTTTGTGATTGGTTTTTGTTGGTGTTTAGAGTTGGTTTAGAAGTAGCTACTCATGTTAAATGCTTTGTGTGAGTCTATGTTAATGCTTGTACTGTAAGCTTTGTGTGAGTCTATGTAACAGAAGAACAGCTCCACTGTATTTTCTGAATGATCAGCTTGCTTCTACCATTAACTTCATTCCGAAACATGGCTACTGTATGTTCACAATACATGAGTTCAAATTTCCACCATTCACTTCAATCCGAAACTACATGTTCTAAATACAGAGCAAGGAAGGAAATACTAGACACTTCACTCTTCGCTTCTGCTGCGCTAGTACCTCAGTCGGCCTTCACCCTACGCTACTCCCAGCGTTTGTACCTCAATCGACCTTCACCCTACACTCTCGCTAGTGTTAGTTCCTCGGTTGAACAACATTCTCGGACGCTGCATCTTCAGCCTGTCGAGGTCCCCCACAGCGGCACTACACATGTGTATCTGCGTCTGGACCGCCTGATATGCACACCCAGGACCACCTCTCATTCGGGTATAGGGTCGACCCATACTCGACCTATGCCGTACTGAGAGAGGAACTAGGCTCTTCAGCCTAACCAGGCTTGGATACCACTTGTCACAGACATAGATATAGAGCAATACTTGGTCTCGGTGGAAGACTTATATACCTTGTCCTATTTCTTACCATGTCAGAAGATAAATGCATCACCAAGCTGAACACATCAGACAGAGGTGGAACGATGGGTGTCCAGACACTCTACGAATTCTGAATAAGAATAAGCATTTAACGCAAGAGTATACCAGAAGAAGGGAAGAAATAATTGACATCACGTGTCCCCTGTAAGTACCGAAGGATCCGATAAACAACATCAAGATGAGAAGTGCGAGGAGTTGTCGTGAACTTACTGACCAACTGGATCGCGTAAGAGATATCAGGGCACATGGTAAACAAGTATATGCGACTGCCCACTATACTACAATAGACTGTACCATGAGTAAAGGATCACCCGAGATTCAACCCAATTTAATGTTGAGTTCCAAAGGAGTAGATATCGGTTGGCAGTCTTCAAAACGATGATCACTAAGAAGGCTAGAGATGTACTTCCGTTGGCTAAGAAGGAGCCCATGAGGATTCCAGGTAACTTCTAGGCCAAGAAAGTAGGATAGATCGTCGAGATCCTTGAGACTGTAAGAAGGTTGAAGACCCTCTTTAATAGTGCAAATGCCATGAAGATCAGTACCAGTAATAACCATATCATCAACATAAAGAAGCAGGACAACAATACCAACAGACATGTTCTTAGTAAAAAGTGATGGGTCGTGCAGACTCTAAGAGAACCCAAAGACAGAGATGGTAGAGTGAAACTTCTCGAACCATGCCCGAGGAGTATGCTTAAGAACGTAAAGAGACCGATGAAGACAATAGACATGATATGAAGTACCAAGAGTATAACCAGGTGGTTGTTCCATATAGATGACTTCCTCCAATTCTTTGTGGAGGAAGGAATTCTTGACATCCAGCTGAAATAACGTCCAGTTCTGACGAGCGACGATAGGCAGCAAGGTAAAAACAAAGGATATTTTAGCCACTAGAGCAAATGTCTTTGTATAATCCACCTCGAGTTCCTGAGTAAACCCATGTGCAACAAGACTAGTTTTTTAATGATCTATAGTACCATCGTGATTCATATTCATAGTGTAGACCCAACGACTACCAATAACTGAAGTGGACGCAGAAGGGCGAGGGACTAAGGTCAATGTATTGTTAGCATGTAGAGCCGGTGCATAGCTTGCTAGCACAAAGGATTCCTTTTGGCTTGTTTATAACGAGTCAGAACCAGATAAAATCAACACCATGAGCCACATAATCATGAAACCGAGGAGGGATACCATGAGTGGAGCAATGCATATGAAAAAGAAAAGGAGCATCAACCAAATTCCCGATCCAACCGGAACCGGGGAGGCAAGAGAAGTTGTAGAACCATGAGAAGAAGTTGAAGTGGTAGGCGACGAACCATGTGGTGAGGCTAGAGTCGGGTCATCGCGGGGCGGACGAGCATGAGCATCACAGTCAGTGTCATAAAAATTGGTAAGGATGGAGATCTAGATGGAAAGATGGAGGGAAAGGAATCTGACTCATAGAAGTTAGAACTTCAGATTTTAATGGAAGAAAATAAATCCAAGTGAATCAAGTGGCATAATAAAGAAAAAAGGAAAAATAATGATATCCACATCAGGAAATAGCATGTGTAGGACCCCAAAGATGCGTATGAATAATGTGTAAAGGATCAATTATAATAGTAGTACTAAAAGGAAAAGAGGTGCTAATAGTTTTGAATTCAACACAACTAGTACATGAATGTTTTGTCGAAATGCCAATATTATTTTTACCAAGTAAAGTTAGTTTGAACATTTTTTCAAGACTATCAGAATAAGGATGTCCTAACCTTCAATGGCAAATATTATCTGACTGACGAGAAAAATCGGCTGACAGAGGACTAGTACAAAGACAAGGTGACTGAAAGGGACTAGTGACACTCCTAACAGAGTGAGTACTGACAATCGATGATGCTGGAGGTTGATGAAGCTCCTCCAAGTGAAAAATAATCCCTGCTTATTCTCCTTTTCGATATGCTGCCGTCCCGTCTTCAAATCCTGTATGGAACACCCAGATGGTGTAAACAAAACAAAACATCCTTTTTCTGTGCGTTGACCAACATAGACTAAGTTAGGAAAAACTAGCACCATTGTTTGCATATGGTAAAGGGGCTTATGCATTTTCTTGTATTGGGATTTGAGAAATGCATAGGTTGGGAGACCTTCAGGTGTGAATGAGCCGAGCGCCCCAAATTCTCTTATGGGCGGTCTCCAGCAGCATGAACAAAATAGGGCGGATTCCCCCAATGGTTCGTCGAAGAAGACCAACCGTTACAGGTCCAGATGTCGTTCCTTGTCCCGATGAATTTTGCTTTGTTCCTCAATCGTCGGTGAATTTTGCTTCAGTTCTAGCAGCGATAATGTTTCTTCAAATGACCCATTTCCGGCAGAAGTGGCACTCAATCTCGCTGGTTGGGACCCACCTCTAGAACTGAGGTCTATTGTCGGTGATTGATCGCCACCAGATGCAGCAAGGATGACCTCGCCTTTGTTGGGATGAAGATCAAATTGTGATTGTGTACGGGGATGAGTTTCTTCTCATACCATCTACCGTAGCCTTATTAGAAATTGCAAGAGCCGCATTTGTTGTCTTTCTTGATTCGTGTCTTCGGAAATAACAACCTTTTGCAGAAGAGAAACAATTAGCAGATCTTGCTCGGTCTAGAGTTTTTGAGCAATATTGAAATAAGAAGTGTCAGACTGATTACCCTGCTCCAGTCATGCCAATGATGTCTGAACCTCAAACTGGCACGTTGTGCACATACGGTCGAGTAGGTGGAGGCTAGATGCCACCACATATGGTTTGTAGTCAGAAAGAGACAGAGACTCAGGCAGGTTGAAGAATCAACGAAACCTATTAACAATGAGCAAACCTTAGTATTGTTTTCATTCCATGATGCAATGATCTGAGCTAACGTCGTGCTTTCTAGTTTAGGAGTGGTGCCATCAAGAATACCAAGAAGACCTCTGCCTTCAAGAAACACTCAGAACTAACATTCCCATATGACATAATTCGTTGAGCTGAGCATAGGCCATTCAAACTACATTGATGAAGGCTCTCATACTATGTTAATCAATATGGAACTGAATAAATAACCTAATAGATGAAAAATCCGAGTTTACGTGGTATCACTGGAATGTCGGGACTAATCCATGGAAGAGTTAGAACTCTTCAGTTTACTAATCTTAGTAGGTTTCTAATATGTTACAAATCTACATCAAAAAGTTCAATATATTGAAGTGGAGGAAGAAGCAGGGAGAAACCAATTTGGTTGAACCCTACGCACACCTACATGTGGGTTACATGGGCCAATTTAATGGGCTATAATGAAAATATGTATAATTGTGACACATGGGCCTATATCTGCTAACATTCACGACTCTAACCACTAACCCACAATCCTGAAAATCAGTAGCCCATGACCAACAACTTAGCTACAAACTCTCAACAACTTCTAACAGCTCACAAGACTCAAATGACCAAAAACAAATTTTAGAGGCTTAATTAACAATAAATCAAACGACACAGTTTCATTTATTTATAAAGAAGCGAGTTTGAACTCTTTTGTTTGTCGTCTCTTCCAATCCTTTTCCAACAAGGAGAAGGATTCCTTCAACTACAACTCAACTCTTATCCAACAAATCCTCCCATCCCATGAATTGAATTCGGTTGCAACACAAGCTCAAATTATTCCAATTTGAAAGACATGATCATAAAATATACAACCTTCTCATTTATACTATAGTGCTCCAACTCCAATACTTCATCCTTTGTTAGATTGCTTAAGAAATGAAACTTGACATCTATGTGTTTGCTCCTCCCATGCAACACTAGAATTTTGGATAGTTTGATAGCTTAATTGTTATCTTAAAAAATCCTTGTGCTACCTTTCAGACTTCTGCTCTGATGACACATAGAAATGTCTATTCTAGACCCACATATTATGATCTAAGGTGCAAGCATTTTTTATAATTAATGTCATAATACCTTGAATTTGTGTTATGATTGCTTTAAGTGTATTTAGCTATCCTAGGGGTTTTTTGTACGATTGATACACTTTTGGTAGCATTTTGTGCATTTTCAGGTCGAAGCATACTAGCAGACCACTTGAAACCTGTACGGAATATTGAGATAAACTTTCAGGAGTCGAGATTCAAAGAGAGGACCACTTAAATAAACGATAACCCATGAAGGAAAATAGTGCCGCAAGCACCATTTTTAGAGCTCCTCTACATCCTTAGAAAGTTATCCTTGAGCATCCTGATTCGGCGACCACGTGTTTGGAGGCTTCTGATTGCTGAATGGAGCTTCACTATGGATCTTCAAGATGACATTGATGAAGCTTCTATGAAAGCTGTCACGTCGAGCAATGGATGAGAGACATTGCCAAACCCTTCCAAGATAACCAGTAGTAAAAGAAAGGAAGAAATTCAGAAGGAGGTGACTATGGTACCAGAAGCTAAATTTCTGGCTCCATGTTCGCCATGAATAGCACAACATGGAAGAAGCTAATGAGTGGAGGCAACATTATGATGATGCTTCCCAAAATCTTTCTGAGGCTGTGGAAAGAGGAAGAGGTTGCTAAGAAGCCCCTAGACCATGGAGGAGGAGGTCTACCTCACATCGAAACTCTTCATTCTAGTGATCCCTTGAGCCTCCAAAATAACTATGGGACCATGGGAGAGGCAGATAACCTACCTGCGGAGTTGATGCCACTTGAAAATTCTCCATTGGAGGTTGTTGCAATAATTGTGGTTAGCAAGAATATGGGCGCACCCCCTTCCATCCACGCTCACAATGCACATACCCACAATCTGCCCCTGCTTTTCTAGAATATGGGGTGACCCTTATGAGACCCCTATGCCTCTTCCTCAAAAGTGCATGGGGCCTCCTTTTGGCTTACACTATTGGACAGAGGAACTAGGAAAGGAACACGGGGAGTTAATGATTCCCCCATTTTTCTTGCAACAACTCTAAGGGCACTTACCCTCATATCCACCAATGGGTAAATGGAAAAACTTGGGATGCAGCTAATGTCTCCACACTCTTGCGATGGACCCATTTGGTATACATCTAGAGTAACATCAGACCATCACATCTTACCTACTCATTGGATGGAGCCTTGTGAGTTCTACTATGATCTTTCACATCAATGGAACTCACAAGTCCTGCCATGACAAGGGGCATGTTATTCAAGATGGAAATCCAGGTGGAGTCCCTTTTATTCTTGGCCATAACCGTGTGATAGGGAGCGGAAGGACATACCCTTGCATTTATCTTCGCCATTAATGGATTTCACGGAAGCACTTAGTTGAATGGGCCCTTGAATTTCCATGCTTCGCCTAGCTCAAAGGCGTAAAATAAAGAGCGCTCCATGAGAGGTAGCCCATATTTTTCGTCTAACTTAATTACATGAAACAGAACTACGGAAGTACTAATGGGAGATAACCCAAATTTCTTATTTTATTGCATTTGATCCCTTTTTGTAAGATGGATTGATCGGCTTGAATAAATTTTTTGGTGAATTTTTTGGATGAGCTTATCCATATTGATGTGTCTGCTTGAGCCTGATAAATTATTTCAACCCCAAAAATAGCAGCAAAAATGGCAGCCTAGGGACATCTTGATCGCCTAGTCTGCCAAATTTGGGAAATAGGGGGGGGGGGGGGGAGACCAAAATGACGTCATTTTGTCTCGTTTCACCAATCACTCGAAAAGAAAAAGACCAAAATATTTAAATAATTGGATTTCGTGCAGTAGCCTATCACCAATAAAGTTGGTCAATTCTAGCTTTATGGGTTGTACCTAGCACCAAGCATCATGAAATAACACAAAAATGGCATCATCAACTGCTTCTACGAGTAAAGGTGATAATAAACACCCATAATCTACAAATATGAGCTTCAAAAAAACGAGTGGTTGCAACACTTTTGAGTGGAAGCAGTCGTGTCGCAAAACATTACCCACATATCTTAAACAACATTGGAATGACAAAAGTGCATTTTTGTTTTAATTGTGAAGGGGATGTTGTCTTAATGGTTGACCTTGATGGGGGAATGTTTTGCTACAACCATTCGATCATCATCCCATTTCCAACTATCTTCGATCATGTATGCTTGTCTAGAACTGTCACTATGTCGACCATTGCAAGATTGTTTGCTTACTCTACCACTATTGTAAGATTTTCACACACACCACCCACCTCGTGTTCCTATTTTTCGTTTTCTCTCTTCCTAAGATCCTTACTTCGAATCCTTGTGAATGCATGAGCAGTTTCATATGTTTGCTTTCCTTTCGGATCATTAAGCTTCTAGTAGAGTGCATTCGGCGTATACTTATGACGGTTTAGCTCTTATGCTTCCCTTATCATATCTTTATAGCTTGATTTTATTGGTATACATTGAAATGGAGTTGGAATTTGAGGCAATGAATGATAACTTGGTGGAGTGGATGGTTGTTTTGTGTCTGTGGATTGAGGTTTGGGTGCCCTCTTGTTGCTCCATGGCACATTGCAAGTGTGCGTGGGTGTCTCGCTCGACATTGGTTTCCATTTCCCAGTCTAAGGTTCTCTGTAGCTTTGCTACAAAAAGAACTAAAGTGTGGGGTGAACAGTTGAGATTCATCTAATGCCACTCTCTTCACCAACTCCCCACGATGATATGATGGTTATTTTGCACACCCTTCGCATCCACTCTTCTTTTTTAGTAAGAGTGAGGGTGTTACCACCATCATACATTTTCTCATGATCGTGTCTGTCGCTTATGACATTAGGATTTCAATGCCACTATGGCCTTGCCTTTGGCATGTGACTCGCTCCTACTGTCACTCTAGAAAATGGCCAAGTGTAACCACCTCCTAAAGCATAGTATAGCGGGTTTGGGTTTTAATGTCAACCCGGGTCCTAGATGTGATGACTACTTCGTGAGTTCTTATTATTTAGCAGTGAAACTTTAGTGAAGGTTCAAACAAGAAAACAAGCAAAGCAAGTAAAAAGGTTGTTTTCAAGTCGAGAGAGGTCACCCGGATATGGTTCCCCCTAGACTGCAGTTAAGCCGGATTGTAATTAACCAAGTTCAAGTTCAAAGATAGTATACTGCGGGAGATTCTTAAACAGTCTGAAGTCTCGACTAATGGTCTCCAGACCCTCTCAATCTGAGTCTCCAGCGGGCGACTAACCTCCACCGAAGTAAACAGATTGAGGCCCTAACGAACCAAACCTCCACTACCGAAGTAAATTCGGTACAGAATAGTGAATTGACTTCTCGACTAAAGTCGCCAATTCACTACCTTCAATCAAAGGTGCTCTATCAACCTAGGCAGATATTCTCTTTCAAGGTTAAATCAGAAACAACAGGAATTTGATCAGGATTCATGCCATTCAACAAATCAAACCTCAATTGAACATAATCATATCAATGAATCTGTACTTGGGTTCATACAATCAGACCTAACATACAAATCTAGGGTTCTTCATACCCAGGTGAATAAGAAAGTTACTCCATAGAGAGAGATGGAAAATCTAGCTCAGATGCAGAAACCATACTATGAAGGATGGGAATCTGCTTCTGGCACTCAATCAGATCTTCTACAAGCTCAAGCCGCGCTCCAATGGTGATGGAGATCCATCAAAAAGACTTGCAGAGTCAGGTTCGTCACCTTCTCTCTCTAGGTATCGCTTTTTCTCTCTAAAACTCCCAACCCCCACTCCTTTGGCTGGAAATTGGGTTAATACCCAGAAATTCCCGATCACACGGCCAGGCCACACGGCCGTGTGACTTTCCCGGCTGCCCGTGTGAGTGTCAAAACGCGGAGTTTCGAATAAGTGACTTCCAGGCCTGCTGCACGGCCAAAACCACACGGCCGTGTGGATTTTCAGGCTGCCCGTGTGAGTTCCCTGGAATTTCCACACGGCCCGTGTGATTTTGCCCGTGCAATTTGATGTCACAAGGCCAGGTCACACGACCGTGTAGGTTTTTAGGCGTGCTCGTGTGGCTCCATCAGCTTCTCGCCAAATGTCCAATCTTCGTCCAATCTACCCCGAACTCGTTCCCAAGCCTTCATTCACGTACTAGGACCTGAAATATCACAAACAAGAACAACCTAGCGTGAAATCGGCCTAAAATGCGAGAATCGACATCTCAAACGGCTCTAGAATAGGGGTAAAAATATGTGCAATCAATGGTCTATCAGCATGTCACCTAGCATTGAAGGCTTTTCTCTCATTCTAGAGTTGGACTGCCTTAGGAGAGCTACTTAAGCGAACCTCTGAGATTTGCCGTAGAGGAGGAGTTGACGCACTTGCTCTCTATGTTTTCAGTTTTTGTTTGTTGATGCCAAGGTTAAAGCATCCTACTTCAATATGTTTAAGGTCTGGAGAGCGCTGATTTTCCAAAGTCTTTAACCACCTCCAGCTCAGTGCAAATACCTGAAAGAAAAGTTCCCACTGGGGGGGTCCTAGTTGGAACCTCCTCCGACGCTCAAATTAGCAACCTGAATGAAACAAAATAAATACGAGGACGTTATACCTAATTCGATCTCACAATCATAATTGAGCCTTGTCGGATATTTATGATGGAGAGTATACACGAATCCATGGTTAGTCCATCAAATTGATGGTGTAGTGAGTGTGTAGAGATTTAACACGTTTTGCGAGACAAAGAGGAGAAAGACAACATTTTTTAGAGATAATGTTTCGTCGAAGAGTGTTCCAAATGAGCTGTACAGCTCACTTGTGTTTTACCATGCCCCTATTAATAAAAAATATCATACTTGAATTGGCTTACGCCAAGATTCCCCAACATTCTGCGTTATTTCCTGATACTCGTCAATATTCTTCGTTATATCTTAGCATTTTCTGTCATACCCCAACATTCCTCACCAATTATGGTATATGAGAAAGTCCAGGTGGGTATGAGAAAGTATGAGAAATCATGAGTATGTAATGGAAAATAAAGGAGTATGGGTATACGAAAAATTGGTAAATAGTTTATGTATGTGCATGAATATGCATGTATAAGAAAATGAAAATTTGGGAAAGAGGATATATGAGAGTTAGGTAACCAGAGCGTCAGAGTTTCATTATTGAGAGCGTGAACAGAGTACTTATTTTAAATTATTATTAATTATTTAATAAATATTTTTGAACAAAAATACAAAAATGAAAAAAATACAAAAATGAAGAATAAAAGTATAAGAAATGATCACAAATATTCTCCAATATATTTTTGCTTAATATGTGATACATCTCAATCCGTTCAACTACACGTAATCTTCATCATATTCAAAAGCAACTAATTAACTAAACACAATTCTATAAAAAAAATATGTAAAAGGAAGGGCCACAATTTTATCTTCCCATAAGCAACAATGTTCAAGGTCAAACTCTTATTTACTATGGAACAACATATTAAATGACATTTATAAGACAAAAACATATCACATGGCAAGCCTACAATAAATAAACTACATGGTTCATGTGTCATTGAGCAAGAGATCCATCCTCATTTTACCTATTAGAATCACTCAAATGAGATTTAGTCATGTGTCAAGCTTATTTGCCACGTGGACTATTCAACATTGTCATATGTTGCTTGACTCGTCTACAATATCACAACAAAATCGCAGCTAAAGCCCAAGTATAAACCTTAGATGGGTACAATATAGGGCAAGTATGTTTAAATATTAACCTGGGCCGGTCCATGTACCCCTACTTCAATTGTTTGAAATATTATCTAGCGGATTGGTTTTTGGTTGAAAACTATAAGGATTAAATTAAAACAAATCAAATGTAAGTGGTTTGAAAACTCTAGATGAGAAGGATCACTCGGGTGTT